TGTTTCGGAGTGTTCTATGGTCTGCTGGGGTAATAATATAGTGTAAAGCGCATAGAGCCTGCTGTTGAGCGGGGATATGCGCTATACAAATGCTATTTATTATTATTATTATTATGTATATGCAGATAATATAGAGAACGTACCAATAGCTTTGAGGAATCGAACCAAATCCCTGCAGAGTTCCCAGGAGCCCTGGTCCAGAGCTGAATCCAGGAGAATTGTCGCGTGCTGCCAAAAAAGATGAGGAATCGTAAGTCATGGACATGTCAGAGTTTAGTTTAATTTGATTTAAGTAAGAGTTTTATGGAACTTGCAACACAAAAAGGTCATACAAGAGCCGAAGATTAGAGGTGTTGCTAGAGAGTAACAAACATTAAAAAAGGAAGGAGGGGAGATAAGAACGATAGATGTTTGATAGGAAAGAAGGAGCAAACAATACCAGAGCACCTGCCAATCACCCACGTAAAATAATACGAGATATCGTGAGTCATGAAAACATTACAGTTTAAGTAAAGGGAGGGAGGCAAATCCACATAATTATAGATTACTAGCTGGGGCCCCTTTCGATGAAAGGAATGATCTGTGCTTTAATATCAACTAAAAGTCATTGGCCTACTATATTTACACCCTACTGGAATGGGGCAATAAATCTTAAGAGATGCAAAAAAATTATGAAAAAGGTCTAGATCTATACTCTCAAAACAAAATGCGCCTTTGCAAAATATCACTTCCAGATTTTCTAAAATTACAGAGACAGAAGCGTCGGCCTACAAAAGAGATCGGCGAAATAAAGAAATTTAGCCTTTTGCAGTAAAACTGTCTCAAAACTGAAAAAACCAAGGGCGTCATGCTCTGGAGAATATTTTAAAGAATCTTTTGGCGTAAACCGCATGTCGATCGATGCAGCCATTAAAAACCTTTTGAATAGCAAAATTCGGCCACCACAAATAGATATTAGATTACAGCATGGAAAACACAAGACAGAGAGACAGACAAACAGACAGACAGAAACAACAGAAGGAAAGAAAAGAAGCAAGATCTACCAGTGGATAATGATTATCATTAAAATCAAGACACACCACTCACATTCACACTCCAAACAGCAACACAAACATGTGCCCACCGCAGACATAAAGAGATCTGACTGAGACCATTGTTGTAGTTAGCTTTAGTAAGAGTTTTACGGCACTTAAAACACAATAAGGTCATATGAGTGCCGAGGATTGAAGGTGTTACAAGAGAGTAACAAACATTAAAAAGAAGGGAGGAGAGTAAAAGACGATGGATGTCTGATTGGAAAGAAAGAGCCAGCCACACCAGAGCACCAGATCTGAGGTTGTTGTTGTTAACAGCAATAATATTGTTGTATTACAGAATTCCTTCAAAATATAGTAGTACACATTTCACAAATTACGTACATACATCCCAGTATTTTTCTAGCCAAATATAGGAAAATACGGGAAGTTCTTCTAGCACGCTATAGGCAGAGACTCAAGTCATCTGCATGAAATGACGAAGCACCTAACCAGTATACTATAGGCAGAGACTCAATTCATCTGCATGAAATGACGAAGCACCTAACCAGTATACTATAGGCAGAGACTCAATCATCTGCATGAAATGACGAAGCACCTAACCAGTATATGACAGAGACGTGGTCTCAACCAATATGACAATGAAAACTCAGAGAAAAAAAACCCCCCCCAATAAAAAGAGAAACTCTGTCAGTAAGCTTATTTGACACAGAGGTGAGTGATTCCAATTGTGTCAAAGGTACACTGACTGGGTCAGAGCAAAACTAAGAAATGTGACAAATGAAGCGTCCAGGCCTCACCTGCCGACTGACGATTGGCTTCTCCAGGTTCTGTAAGATGATGAGGTAAGTGGCCGCCGTCTCCAGGTTCTTGTTGATCAAACACTCCTGGGGAGGGGGGAAGGGGGGCAGAAAAATAATAACATAATCTTACTACTAATGGAGCTAAGGCCAAATTTTGCGAACAGTATATTCTCAGAAACTACAGAAAGAAAAAATATATAATAATAATAATAATAATAATAATGATAAAAATAATAAAAATGATGACGATAATAATAAAAAATAATAACAACAAAAACAACAACAGCAATCATAGTTATGACGTGGATGGCCAAGAGATTGTTTGTTTGAGTAAAGAGAAGCACATCGACACAAAAAAGGTCATTTGGTGCTGGGAAAAAGTAAGACAGACAGACAGAATCAACAGAAGGGAAAGTAAAGAAGTAGGACCTACCAGTGGTGCCCTCCAGCCACCCGCACAGAGTGGTTAGGCTGTCGGACTCACAACAAAAAGTCACGGGTTGAATCCCATTCCCATCGGGGCGCAACTTTGTGTCCTTGGGAAAGGCACTTTACATGAAGTAGGTTTTTAAAAAGTTTTAGTAAGAGTTTTACAACACTTGCAAAACAAATCGGTCATATAAGTGCTGAAGATTAAAGGTGTTACTTGAGAGTATCATTTGAGAGAGAGACAAGGGAGAGACACAGAGAGAGAGGGAGAGAGGGAGAGAGAGAGAGAGAGAGAGAGAGGGAGAGAGAGAGAGAGAAAGAGAGAGAGGGGGACAGAGAGAGGGAGAGAGAGAGAGAGAGAGAAAGAAAAAGCGCGAGAAAGAGAGAAAAAAAGACAGATGGCATGAGAAAAAGAAAGCGAGAAAAGGAAAAAAACAAAACAAACCCACACAAACAAATTAATCAAAAACAAACTCACCTCAAACAAATCTTTGGGATTTCCGACGGTGGAGAAGAGGTACGGCCACAGAGCAACTTCCGTCTTACGCGCACAGTGCACGATCGTCTGCAGGAATTCTGGGAACTCTTGGATGAAGGCCACGACCCTCGGCAACAGAGGATCTGACGAAGATAAAAAAAAATTGTTTTTGCTATTTATTGTATAAGAATAGAGAAGTGCATCCATAACCGACACGATAAAGGTCGACTCGGATAGGGGGAAGTAAGACTGACAGACTGAAAGACACACAGATAGACAAGACAGTCAGACAGGCAGACAGACAGACTGACAGACGGACAGATAGACAGACTGACAGACAGGCAGACAGGCAAACAGACAGACAGACATACAGAGAGGCAGACAGACAGACAGACAGACCGAAAGACAGACAGAGAGACAAACAAACAGGAAGTAAAACCTACCAGTGGCACCCTCCAACAGCCTGTTTTGTTTTTGTTGTTTAGTTTTAGTAAAGTAAGAGTTTTACGGCACTTGCAACACAATGAGGTGATATAAGTGCTGAAGATTCGACTACGAGTTACAAGAGAGTAACAAACACAAAAAAAAAGACGGGAGGGGAGAAAAGGACGACAGATGTTTGATGGGAAAGAAGGAACAAACCTCATCAGAGCATCCGCCAACCACCCACTTCTGAAGATTACAGGTGCTACAGGAAAGTAACTTTCAAAGGAAGGAAGGAGAGAAAAGGACGACAGATGCTTGAGGGGAACAAAGAACGAGCAAACCACACCAGAGCACCCGCCAACCACCCATTTAAAGTTAATAATAATAGTCATAATGAAGAACACCAGGAACCGTGACTTCACGATTAGGAGTCCATTAGGCTTCTGACGCCACTACAGTCAGTGTAAGATACAAATAATTCCGTACCCAGGAATACCCGCTCACATAAGATCTAATTTAAAAAAATTTGTTTTAGTAGAGGTTTTTACGGCGCTCGCAACTGCATAAGGTCATATGAGCGCCAGAAGATTAGAGGTGTTACAAGAGAGTAACAAACATAAAAAAGAAGGAGGGAAGATAAGGACGAGATATGTTTGATAGGAAAGAGGAAGCAAACCGCCCCAGAGCACCCGCCAACCACCCACAATCGAATTCAGGATTACAGCCACAGGCTGGGAATTTGGACGGGGTAGCACAAAAAATGGCCGCATTTCGCGAGTAGACAGATGTTTTATCATGTAGAAGCCGTCGTGTCTCTGCCCAATAAAAATGTCTAGGCCTACCACAAGTGGCCCAAAAAAAATAATTACCCACTACACAATTCTGGGAACCATAAAATACAAGCTGTGAAATGAAATGGGACAAGAAAGACCGCCACAACAGAGCCCGGTGTTTAATAAAAAAACAACCCAACTTTTACTGCCCAGAGAGAAAGCTGCTGTAAAAGTCCAAGAGACGAACATTTTAATAGGGCTGGGCAACGAGTCGCTTTAGCGAAATCCGGATAATACGTTAGTAGTCCACCTCTTCGACAAAAAAATAATATGTTAAGAACCGCTTTGTCAAATGGGTTGGAACCACTTCGACAAACGGATTTATAGCATCACTTCAACAAGTGGGTGCACCCACTTCGGTAAACGGGCAAGGAAAGAGAGTTAAGGAGTCTGAATTCGGATGATGTTTCATTGAGAATTATCCGGTTATCCGGATTTTGCCCACATCTACAGCTTAACGCATGATGAAATAAATACAAGGCCTTAAACTTCATTCAATGAGAATCTATGAGCAACTAGCAGGCCAGTTTTCGTTTGTGACACCCTTTGATTGTTTGCAACACAGTAAATTAAAACTTTTCATTGAAAATAAAATAGAATTAAATCTAGTATTGATCCCTGCGGGGGGACATAATTTGGTTTACAATCATGATGCAAACTGCATACGTGCACACGTTGCTTTGTCGTACAGACAGACAGACAGGCAGACTGACAGACAGACAGACAGTTTGACAGACAGACAGGCAGACAGGCAGAGAAGCAGGAAAGTAGGTAGGCACGCACATAGGCAGAGAGAGAGAGAGAGAGAGAG